CCACAAGATTTTCTGTTTTATCTATCAATAATTCCAATCTTTCTCCTCGCTGAGCTACCAGATCTGAAAATATTAGAAAAGAAAGATTATGTTTTATATTACACATGTATACTTTTATCCTTATTTTAATCCAAATCTGATTTTAATTAGTTAATGTTATGGTTTGTGTCTAGCTGTCCCCTCAAAGCCTCATGCAGTCATTGGGGTGGACTTCTAGAGTTTATGGTTAATTCTTGATCCAATGCTGGGATTATAGATATGAGTGCTGCACCCACATATAGACTGAATGCAATATAAGGAAGGGAGGGGGCTTGCTTTCTGCCACCACAGCCTCTGCTCCTTCTTTTTGCTCTTGCTGTTTTACTATTTTCCACCACCATGAACTTCTGTCCTCTGCCATGTGCCACTCTGCTTTTGAGCCAGCTGAGTATGGACTGAAACTTCTATAAACTGTGAGCTAAATAAACCTTTCCTTCCTTAATTTTGAGTGTCAGGTATTTTGTCCCAGAAATGAGAGAAAATTAACTGAGACAGTTAATATTCTTGGCAACTCTTAATTATTATAGATCTATACCTATAAAGAATAAAAGATTCTAACTTATATTCTGCTATAATGTGTCCCCCTTGCTAGAGGTCTAACATGATTAAAGCCTTTCAATCTTGGACAGCCTACCCTAGAGTGACTCAGCACAAAGAGGATAAAAAAGGGAGAGGCTTGATAGACACCACAGCTGTTGCTCCTTTCTCTGCTCTTCACTGTTTTCCACCACCACAAACTGCCACCTTCTGCCTTGTGTTATTCTACCTTAGAACCAGCTAAATAGACCAAAACCTCCACTGTGAGCTAATTAACCCTTTCCTTCCTTAATTTTGGGTGTCAGATTTTTTTCCCAACAATGTATAAAAATTAGCTGAGACACTGCCCTTGCTTCCATGTACTCATGCAGTGGAGTTTCAATGCTGGAAGGGACAAGGCAAGAGTAAAGTCATTCAGTTTCTCACTGGTAAAGCAAAGGTATCACTCCAAGAGAAACTGTCAACAGCCACTTCGAGTAGGTCCAAAGCAGTGATTCAAATTTTTTCCATGTGGAGAAGCAAGGCTTAAGAACAGAAAGCTTGTGAGACGACCCAGGCCGCGGGATCCTGAACAGACCCAGAGCGCAGGCCCGGCAAGTGAGTGAGATGACCTGAGGGCCACGGGATCCTCTACAGATCCAGAGTGCAGGCCCGGCGAATGAGTGAGATGACCAGGGCCCTTCGGATCCTGAATAGATCCAGAGCGCAGGCCCAGAGAGTGAGGGAGCCGACCCAGGGCCACGGGATCCTGAACAGACCCAGAGTCCAGGCCCCGTGAGTGAGGAGACGACCCAGAGCCTGGCGGGATCCTGAATAGGCCCAGAGCACAGGCCCAGCAAGTGAGTTAGACGACCAAGAGCCGCGGGATCCTGAATAGACCCAGAGCGCAGGCCCGCACGGAACCCTTCAGCAGAACTCCCTGCAAAGAGGCTAGAGGCAAGACCCACCCAGCTGATTCAGGAGCAGAACATCTTCCCAGAGAGACACAAAGGGTTCAACTCTAAGGGCTGCA